CTCTCTCTCACACACACACACTCTCTCACAAACACACACACACTCTCTCACACACTCTCACACTCACACACACACACTTTCTCACAAACACACACACTCTCACACTCACACACACACACACACACACACACACACACTCTCTCTCTCTCTCACACACACTCTCTCTCTCTCACACACACACACACACACACTCTCTCACACACACACACACACTCACACACACACACACACACTCTCTCACAAACACACACACTCTCACACTCACACACACACACTCTCTCACAAACACACACACTCTCTCTCTCACACTCACACTCACACACACACACACACACCCTCTCTCTCTCACTCACACACACACACACACACAAACACACACACTCTCACACTCACACACACTCTCACACACACACACACACACACTTTTTTTCTGCTTCGTTAGTCTGATACAACCACATATTTTATTCATAGTCAATAAACACAATATTTATCAGTTAGAAATTGCTCTTTGTGAGCGTCGTCTCTATAAAATTATTTCTACGATGGTTATGGAATTTTCTACGATGGTTATGGAAACTCATTGGACAAAAGATGTAAAAACGAGCCTTTAAATCAGCATGAGCTCATGGATCTGATGAAGATCAGCTTCAGGTTTCATGTTTTTTCTCTGCGTTTGTCTGTCTGATTCTGTGATTCAATCTGCTCTTTCTCAGCCAGAAGAGGAGAGCGTTAAAGTGAAGGTAGACATGCGTGTGACGCTCTGTGTGCTCGTAGCTTTGTCTCTGATTTCACTAGAACTGACTGTGAAATCGATTCAGTGATGATGTCTATATTCAAAGAGCGGCAGCTCTGGATCAAAGCCTTCCGCTGTCAGTCACTCGCGCACAATCTGCCTCTGGCTGCTCTGAGCGAAAAAAACATCTGAAAGACAACAAACCGCATTTTAGATTCGTTTTAACATGTATTTAAGAGCGATGATTTCACAGAGCTGCTCAATGCCTACTAACACGTATTATACACATATTAATGCATGTGTGCGTTTGTGTGGTTGCTCTTACAAAATTAGCAATTTTGTGGTGTTTTTTATTAATTAAGCTATTTCACATAATTATTAAATTGTATTTTTAAAGATAAAAAATAAATGCATGTGTTTTTGTTAGCAATTAAAATATTTCACAATTATTAAAGTGTATTTTTAAAGATAAAAAAAATAAATGCATGTGTTTTGTTAGCAATTAAAATATTTCACATAATTAGTAAATTGTGTTTTTAAAGATAAAAAATAAATGCATGTGTTTTTGTTAGCAATTAAAATATTTCATATAATTATTAAATATTTTCAAGATAAAAAATAAATGCATGCACTTTTTGTATTTTTGATTAATATATTTTATACTATTATTACATTATCTTTTTTTAATTAAAACAAATGCATGCATTTTTTTTTACTTTTTATTAATTAAATTATTTCATATAATTATTGAATGATCTTTTTAATGAAAACATTTGAATGACAAATACATGTAGTATTTGCGTGCCATTAATTAATTTTTATTCTGAAAAATGCACATGATACACTATTTGAAATATATATATTTTTCTGTTTCTAGGCTCCGAGCAGCGCTGCAGAGACCAAACCCAGCGCTGGTGCGGTGCACGACGCCTCGGTGAATGCCAACGCAGATCCAGAGAGAGCCAAACAGCTGACGGCTTTAGTGGCAGAACAAGTACGAACACACACACACACACTCACACGCACGCGTCAAATAAATATACTGAAATGACTATTTATGCATTCATGTTTTGGCTCTTCAATATGATATAATATACTAGTGGACCATTTGAATGTCCGTACGCCGCCCTTTTTGTACAAAAAAACGAAAATATTTCAAATATTAATATTACAGATTAAATTACAGTATATACATATTTATTACATATTATACATATATATTACAGATTATTACAAACTAAAAATAAATGTAGAAATTTAATATAAATTTTTTACTTTCTAATATAAATTAGTTTTTTAACCCAAGAACACACTGACATTGAGATTAACATTTTAAATATTTTTTTTCTCATTTTATTTAAATTAATTTGTTCTCTCGTTTTATTAAATCTGAAGTCATTTGATTTCCGTATTTTAACAGTGCCATGACCTGAGAACATACTGACATTGAGATCAATATTTTCAGAATAATTTCTCATTTTATTAAAGTGTTAATGGAGTTAAATGAAGTTGTGAGATTTTTTTTTTAATTATTCAGCTGTACACTAACCACTTGTGTTCTTTAGTTAAATACAGGTGTGTTTAATGGTTAGTAGTGCTGGTTTGTGATTAATTGCTCTGCGTGTGTGCATGTGTGTGTGTTTGTGTCTGCGTGCGTGTGTGTGTGTGTGCATGTATTTGTGTGCATGTATGTGTGTGCGTGTATGTGCGCGTGTGTGCATGTGTGTGTGCATGTGTGTGTGTTTGTGTCTGCGTGCGTGTGTGTGTGTGTGCGTGTATTTGTGTGCATGTATGTGTGTGCGTGTATGTGCGCGTGTGTGCATGTGTGTGTGTTTGTGTCTGCGTGCGTGTGTGTGTGCATGTGTGTGTGTGTGCGTGTATTTGTGTGCATGTATGTGTGTGCATGTATGTGTGCGTGTGTGCGCGTGTGTGCATGTGTGTGTATGTGCGTGTGTGTGTGTGTTTCAGGGCAATAAACTACGAGGCCTAAAAGCCCAGAAAGCCGACAAGTCTGTTATTGACGATGAAGTCGAGAAATTACTGCAACTGAAAAAACAACTTTCTCTAGCGGAGGGCAAGAACCCGGAGCCGGCCGCTCAGAAAGGAAAGAAGAAGTAAAAAGGTGAACATGAGGGAAAAAAATCCATCATGCAGGAATATTTTCAGGGCTTACTGCACTATCCATCCACTCCTATAAAAATACAACCTATCCTTTTTAAAATGCAATGAAGTCTGTTAAATGATCTTTTTAAAATGCATTAAAATCTATGTATTTCTTACTGTTGCTTGTTACTCCGAAACAACCATATTTTATTCACACAATCAATAAACACAAAGACAAAAAAAAATCTCAAGACTCAGTTCATTTTAAGATTTTAATAACAAAATGAGTGTAATACAATTCCGTATTCAGTAAGGCTAAATCAAATTCAGATAAAAATGTTTCTACTCTAATACAGTAATTCGGCATGCATGGTTATTGTAAGATTAGGAAACTACAATATAAAGTAAATGATAACATGTCGTGATGATACACATATAGAAAAATAGGCATGAGGCAGAGAGTATGTTATAAACTGCTAGTTCTAAAAATTCTGGAAAAGTTTCAAGAGAAGTAAGTGAGAGCAATATCCCCGTCATCTGAACACACACACACACACACACACACACTCTTAGAGGCCTCGGGTTGATGGTGAGAAACGCTCACAATCGTTCACTATAACAGTCCTGAGCTACTAATCTCTGTCAACTAGGGGTGAATTTACACGGTTAAAGCCCTTCGTTAACACATGACGTGAATTAAAACTGGCTGCTTACAATGAAACGCACCTACAATCACCGTCACTGATACAATCAGATCTCTTCTTCTCTCTTTATTATTGCAGTTCTGCCTTTTCTCTCGTCGTCTCGGCTACATTCCCTCAAGACTCCTCGGCACTGATGAACAATCAGCTTTCAATTACACCGAAGGTTGATTAACCTTTGGGTAGTTTAATAAACGTTGGTGCATTACAGTGCTATTATCAGACCAAAACCGGTCAAAAACAACCCGAATGCAAAGAAAAAAGGCGGTTTTAGTAGCATTACAATTTTTTGCATTGTGATTATTTTTTTAATGACAATCGCACGCGTTGATTAATGTAATGCAAAATATCTCATTCTTTAATTTGTTCATTTTAAAAACATTCGTAAAGAAGCAGTAGTACTTGTTTCACGGGCTTTCATTTTTGCTGGTTTAAATGTTTAAAACATTGCATTAAAGTCATTTTAATTTACTGCAAAAAAACTTT